AGAGAGAGAGAGAGAGAGAGACAAGGGCCAAGCGGTTGGCACAGTGTAAGATACGTCATTAAAAACTCTTCTCTCTGACCGAGCGTGAAGCTAACAAAGAAGATAAAAAAAGGATAGAGAGACAAGGCTTGGTAGAAAGTAAAAACCTCTGTCTATCTCCATCTACCACATTCTCTCTTTCTCACTTGGAGAACATGTTTACCACAAAATGCCTCGACACACGCTACCAAGCTACCCGTTTTTTATTCCACCTCTTGCCTTGTCGTCCTTTGGAGTGCCACTCTTCTTCCTCCTACGTCGTTAAGCGTATTAACGTTACGCCACCAACGTTGACCGCTATTGTCGTCGACTCGGACAATGAATAAACGAAATTCGTTTAACTTTATATCACGTACCATTTTCCATTTACAATTACAATGCGTATTTAAATATTTCATTTTTTCTTTTTTTATTTGAATAAAAATTCATTCATTCATCATCCATCGTTTTAATTAAATTAATTTAACGATAACGTCTATTCAATTTCAATGTAAAGTATTGGACTTGATTTACACAGTACATACTGTATCATAATAAAAATTGAAATTTTATTTTTAATTAATTATATTTAACTATTATATTATATTATACATATATTCACAACGATCATATACATTAATTGCTTTTAGAAAAGAAGATTTATTACTGCTAAAAAAGAAGAAGAAAAAAATACTACCTTAAATATTTTTGAAAGGGATGATAGATAGAAAATATTTAAATAGTACATCGTATATATATGTATTTTTTTTAAATCATGTAATATTAATTTTAGAAAACAATCTTTTATAAGAATTAATACTCACTGATGTGAGTGTTTTTAATTATTCTATCACCCTGTATACAAGGTCATATAGTTTTAATTAAATTATCAAGTATGAAAGATAGGAAACATGTAATTAGTGCATTGTATAAACATTTCTAAATTAATAATATTTATATGAAATCATTATCTTGAAAATATATAATATTTCTAAAGTTATTCTAATTACTCTATCACTGGAAACATATAATTTTAATTAAATTATTTATCATATTCTAAATAACAGAGAAAAAATAAATGAACGAAAGATCGACGATTATAGCAAAGAATTTGATATTATTTTCTTTCTCTCTCTCTCTCTCTCTCTCTCTCTCTCTCTCTCTCTCTTTCATGATTGAATCACGACAAATATCTCGATATCGAACGGAAACAAGCAAGAGAGAGAAAGAGAGAGAAAGAGACAATTTGCATTTGGTATCGGAGTAATATTCCAGTGTGGCGGTCATCGCGATTCCCAAGTGTCGTTTTCCCGTTACTTTCATGTATGCATGCTTGAGTGCACATACAGGGTGCTCCATGACGATTCTGCACTTGCATCGAAATCGTCGAATCTTCCATAGTGGTTCTACCAAAGACAAAACTTCCAATCGTACTATGTTATTTCTTTTTTTTCTCATTCCTCTTTCATACGATTTATATTAGAACATAATAAAATTATTTTACATACGAATTTTTCTTATCTTTATTTTCTCAGTCATCGTAGTAACTATTCGTAAGTATTATTGTTGTTATTAATATTATTATTATTATTATTACTAATATATATGAGTTTCAAAGGGAAAATTGAAGACAGTTAATAAATTTTGATGAACAAGTTTATTTGATCTTGTTGAACGTTTCGTCCCTTACTGGGGACTTCCTCAGCAACTACAAAATTTTTCTTTTTATATTATTTTATAATTATGACTTGTTAAAAAGATATATAAACATTACAATA